GACGGAGACAAAGATTCACTGAGCAAGGCAGAACTTGCTGATTTGTTCCACGTGGAGATTCCTGAAATGGCCGTAAGTAAAAAGATGAAGTACTATTGTAATATAGATCTGTGTATGCCTCTGTTTATGTTTTAAAATCTAATACAAACTTCTGTGGACTTCATCTCTTTAGGGGGACAAACAACAGTTAGACCAATTCTTCGCCAGCCTGGATGGGGACAAGGATGGAAAAGTTTCTTTCCCAGAGTTTGCCCAGTTTGCAGCAACCTTAATGTTGTTGTACAGCGCATTCTAATTTGGCAACATTGCCTCAGAATTCTTTGCCTTAAGGTTATCTCTATAACATCTAGAAAGTACATGTCATTATTATGTGTTCTGAGTAAACACAGATAAATCATTGATGGGTTCTTATGTTAGCTTAAATAAATCATTGATTTTTAATATCAGATGTTAACTAAAAAAATAAATGTTGTCACATTGTATAATTGTTTGTGTGTGTTATTAAACCAAAGAGATATTGTGAGAACTCCTACAGCCAGCCCTCTCTTTAAAATGCATTTTAAAATATTATTTAGAGCATACTCTGAAATATAGAACATGTTAAAAAATATCTCTTGGCTCCTAATTAAGAGATTCATCCTATATTAAAATATTCACATGTATGTCCCTGTTTAGACGCTTTGCCCTTAAAAACAATGTCTGTCTATCAAATTCTCCCAAGATGTTAACTTGAATTCTTATTCTCACATGCCTCCAGGGTGAACAGAGAATCCAATAATGTGTAAGTAAATGGATACCAGGTTTAACATTAGCAAAACTTCATCAAAAAATCCAATCCAATCCAACTTTTTTTAAACTTTAAAACCTCCAGACCAAAGTGCTGTATACAACAACAACAACAAAAACAAATAAAAGTAAGAACACAAAACAAGAATACAAATATCAGACATATAGTAAAAAAACATATACAATTTAAAAGCAATAAAAGCAACAATCTGCAAAGTGCAGAACGCTAAGAGAAGAGGTGGGTTTTAAGACTTAAGCTCAGAGAGGTGAGGTGCAGCAGCTCAGAGAGGTGGGGTGCAGCAGCTCAGAGAGGTGGGGTGCAGCAGCTCAGAGAGGTGGGGTGCAGCAGCTCAGAGAGGTGGGGTGCAGCAGCTCAGAGAGGTGGGGTGCAGCAGCTCAGAGAGGTGGGGTGCAGCAGCTCAGAGAGGTGGGGTGCAGCAGCTCAGAGAGGTGGGGTGCAGCAGCTCAGAGAGGTGGGGTGCAGCAGCTCAGAGAGGTGGGGTGTAGCAGCTCAGAGAGGTGGGGTGCAGCAGCTCAGAGAGGTAGGGTCAGCTCAGAGAGGTAGGGTGTAGCAGCTCAGAGAGGTGGGGTATAGCAGCTCAGAGAGGTAGGGTGTAGAGGTGGGGTGTAGCAGCTCAGAGAGGTAGGGTGTAGCAGCTCAGAGAGAGAGGTGGGGTGTAGCAGCTCAGAGAGGTGGGGTGTAGCAGCTCAGAGAGGTGGGGTGTAGCGGCTCAGAGAGAGAGGTGGGGTGTAGCAGCTCAGAGAGAGAGGTGGGGTGTAGCAGCTCAGAGAGGTGGGGTGTAGCAAGCTCGAGAGAGTGGGGTGTAGCAGCTCAGAGAGAGAGGTGGGTGTAGCAGCTCAGAGAGAGAAGGGTGGGGTGTAGCAGTCAGAGGGTGTAGCAGCTCAGAGAGGTGAGGTGTAGCAGCTCAGAGAGGTGGGGTGTAGCGGGTGTGGGGTGTAGCAGCTCAGAGGGTGTAGCAGCTCAGAGAGGTAGGGTGTAGCAGCTCAGAGAGGTGGGGTATAGCAGCTCAGAGAGGTAGGGTGTAGAGGTGGGGTGTAGCAGCTCAGAGAGGTAGGGTGTAGCAGCTCAGAGAGAGAGGTGGGGTGTAGCAGCTCAGAGAGGTGGGGTGTAGCAGCTCAGAGAGGTGGGGTGTAGCGGCTCAGAGAGAGAGGTGGGGTGTAGCAGCTCAGAGAGAGAGGTGGGGTGTAGCAGCTCAGAGAGGTGGGGTGTAGCAGCTCAGAGAGGTGGGGTGTAGCAGCTCAGAGAGAGAGGTGGGGTGTAGCAGCTCAGAGAGAGAGGTGGGGTGTAGCAGCTCAGAGAGAGAAGTGGGGTGTAGCAGCTCAGAGGGTGTAGCAGCTCAGAGAGGTGAGGTGTAGCAGCTCAGAGAGGTGGGGTGTAGCAGCTCAGAGGGTGTAGCAGCTCAGAGAGGTAGGGTGTAGCAGCTCAGAGAGGTGGGGTGTAGCAGCTCAGAGGGTGTAGCAGCTCAGAGAGGTGAGGTGTAGCAGCTCAGAGAGGTGGGGTGTAGCAGCTCAGAGAGGTGGGGTGTAGCAGCTCAGAGAGGTGGGGTGTAGCAACTCAGAGAGGTAGGGTGTAGCAGCTCAGAGAGGTGGGGTGAGGTGGGGTGCAGCCAGGCCATTGAGGGATTTAAAAGTAAATAAAATAGTTTTTAAATGAATCCTAAAATGTATGGTTTACAGGTTGAATGATTCCTTTTATGGCCACTAATGGCCACGCACCCACCCTTCTTTTTTTTAACTCTGCCGCTTCTATTAAGCATGCTGCACATGACGGCAACATTAATTTCCAGCAAGAAACCAAATAAGGAAACTGGATTTGATTGAAATAGATAAATGTAATTACAGTGAATACAACTACTTTTAAAGTATATTCCACTTCAGCAAAACTAGTTTGGACATAGAGCCACTCTAGACATGGTCTCAAGGTAATGGAACAATGCAGCACCTGTGTTAGCTTTTCACATTCACCCAAGATTTTTAAATGAAAGCCATTATATTTTATGAATTGACAGCAGTTTTATACAACTCAGAAGTTGGTTGTGTAAAGAAAAGTTTGCCATTCATTTGAAAGATGACATGAATCAATTATTTGATGTTCATATTAGTAAATTACCTTTCTCTTGACCATTAGAAAAAGCGTTAGCATAGTTGAATTGCTTCCAGTTCAGTCATTATCATTCGGCAGTTAAAATGCGAGGGGTCCCAAACCTATGGCCTAACGGGGAGAAATTATCTACTCGTGACCCATTACCTCAGGTCGTGGCCTATATGGGCATGACTTGTGAATTTTCAAACATCTATCGGTTAAAAAACTCTTACATATCTGAATAGGTGGACGATGTAATATGTCACAATAAAAAAGAAAAACGTGATCAAACCTTAACACAGAAATAGGGTTGAATATTTGTGTTTCTTATTTTTCGATCCCTGAGACTTTTTCTTGGGGCCCCATGGGGAATCGCGATCCACAAGATGGAAAACATTGCTTGCAGTCTTGGTTAATAATAACATTGGCTCATTCAGAACTTGTCTCTATCAGTGGCGAGCCGTCAGGGCCCTCTAGGCCCTCTGTGAGGGCCTAGATATTCCAAAAAATAATATTTAAAAACATTAAACATTTTTTTTTTTTAAATATATATTTTTTTAATATTATTTTTGTTATATTTTTCATTAGTTTTACCGAAAAAAAACTTGATTTAATAAAATAACATTTCCAAATAAATAAATCCTTCGAATCTGCCTGTTCAGTCTCTGTTTGAATGTGGGTTACATGAAAGAAGCTCGCCTGGCCCTCTCTGCGATTCACAAAGTAATGTCAAATGACAGTACAATTGACCAATCATATCTTCGCTCTGGGTTTCGCGGACTAGATGACAAGTTCCGCCCGCTGTGAAACTTTTCTTGTTTCCATAGTAACAACAACTTCCTGTCAACAGCGTGAACTCGCCTTCAAAATAAAAGCATGCCAAATTACACTTAAGACATACAACTGCAACGAAAGTAACAAACACAATGCAATATCATTTTCAATGTCAAAGAACACAAATTGGGTTCACAGGTGTTGTTTTGTGTGGTAGAGGGTCGCTGTCATTTATGCGTTTTGCACCCTGGGCCGTTGTTTTGATATTCCGCTGAAGTATATGCTGTGACGTAATAACTCTTTTGTTTTCTTTTTTCGAGGGAAGGGGTGGGGGTCAGAGGGCCTAGGTATAAAGCTCACGGCTCGCCACTGGTCTCTATTATATGCAGAGGGGTAAGAAGTACTCAGATCTTGTGCTAAAGTAAAAGTATAAATACCACAGTGTAGGAATACAAGTAAAAGTACAAAAGTACTAGCATCAAAATATACTTAAAGTACCAAAATAAAATTACTCATTATGCAGATTGCGCATTTCAGAATATAATATGTTATGATTATAATTATTGATGAATTAATATGATTACCACAGCTGGTAAAGGTATGTTTAATTACTTTATTTACTGCTGGGTAGCTGGTGTACTTCATCCAGGTGTTACTAAATTCTTTTTTAAGTGATTATATATATATATATATATATATATTATCATTAATCCGAATCTGCAAAGTAACTAAAGTTATCAAATAAATGTAGTGAAGTGTAAAAGTACGAAATTTACCTCTGAATTGTAGTGGGCTAGAACTTCTTCAAAAAAAGGATTAAATTCAATTAGATTCATTCAAAGGCTTTATTGTCATACAGTGTGCACAGCTCTACAGTGTAGATATGGCAATGGAAAACCTAAATCCCAAGTCCCAAGCTCCTCCAACAATGCAACATGATAAAGTATTTATAGGATATCACATTTTTTAATTAAATAAAAATAGTGCAATAAGAAACAGAGTAGAACAAAAAATAGTACAGATTTTGTAGCAGGACCAATTTGCAAGTAATTAATATAAATACAAATTAATACAATAAGCAAAATGATGCAGAGAATGTTAAGTGACCAAATAAATGCAGGAGTCTATATATATATGTAAATAGAAAAGTACAAGTCCCTCAAAATTGTACTTAAGTTCAGTACTTGAGTAAATATACCTACTTTACACCACTGATTATATGGCCTAAACAGGAAAGGAAACTCACCGCACGCGGAAAGGAGTCACTGACCCACATGGAACACATCCTGGGGCGCGCGCTCGCGAATCATCGGACTCTGTCGGCTCTTTCCGGAGATCTCGGTCAGTTAGCTAGCCAAGCTGATTAGCCTGCTACTACAAGCTAATGTTTGTTGGATATTTATCGTTAGCAGAATTTGAGTAAATGAAACAAAGAGTATAGAAAAATGGCGGACGTCGAGGGAGAGGGAATTTGTTCGTCGGTCCCTCCGTTACCTCACCCTTCTTCGCGTAACGGCTCCGGTAGCGGTAACGTTACACCGGGCAGCTGCCAGGCAACCACCGTTACATCAGGCCCACGGCTGGTGCAGATAGTGAAGTCTGACTCGGGATATGGCTTTAATGTTCGGGGACAAGTCAGTGAAGGTGGGCAACTACGGAGCATTAACGGAGAACTGTATGCTCCCCTGCAACATGTCAGTGCTGTCCTACCGGGAGGAGCCGCCGACAGAGCCGGTATTTCCAAGGGCGACAGGATTCTCGAAGTGTAAGTGGCTGCTATCTTAGCTTAACCGACTGCATGTGTTGGGTAACGTACACATGACTGTTGCATCTCAAAATGATTGTTAATGAAAATTGAGACAAGCAGGACCAATGAGCATCATTTAATTTATATTTAACGTTACTGAGAATCACCTAAAAGCCTGTGTGATCGTGCACTATCATGCTGGTCTTGCAGGGCAGAGCCACCGTTCATCCTCATGAAAGGATGTCTGTGTGTCAGACAGAAAAAAGCCCAGGGATCATTAGGAATTCCCGTCATACTGAAACCTATTCCACTCATCCACAGCATGCCAAGTTATTCTCAAGTCATCCCGTTTAGCCACACATTAATGTCAATGGAACCAGATGCAGTATGTCTCTCCAATAGCCATAGCCTGCTTTGCTAGAATTGATCATGAAGGTGAGTTGGTCAGTTAACCACTGTTACTATCAGTGAGCACTGATGTGTGCTGCTGCATTCAGGATAGTGTGATGTTAGTATGCATGGAGACTGCTTACTTATGTTAGGCTCTGTTGCTATGGAGAGGAGCACACAGCTCAGCATCAGTACTGGCACTTCAGTGTGTGTGTGTGTATGTGTGGAAAAAGGTGATGCAGAAAGGGAGGGATGCTTTCAGTTCAATTCTGATTGGCTTCCCTTCTCTAAAACCCTGTGTCCCATTGGCTGGTTTTTGCACACTGCTTTGTTAATGGATGGCTTTCAGTAACCTGGCAGTTTGTTGACCCCATTATTTTGTGTGTGTTGTGTGGAAGCATGTGGATGTATGTTTATGCATTTTTGGATACAAATCCCTTTATATGTCACCCCCTTATAAAATTGGCTTTGTTCACTGAAAGTAATGGTTTGGTTAATATCCATGCACTAGTGTAGGCTTTAACATTTTATACTTTACTAGCATTATTATTTGAAGGGTACTGTCTCCTCTCCTGTGCCTCATATGAAGTAGATAAGGCAGGCCCAGATATGACTAAGTCTCAACACATAGAGCATTGCTCCCTTCATTCAAGGCACAGTATGTTCACAATATCTCAGTAAGCAAACGATGAAGTACCTGCAGATAAGCTGCAGTGGTATAGAGCCTCTTTTCCGCTTTTCTCCATCAATACTTCTTTGCACATTTACAAACAACTCCCGCTTCCCGAGTCTTTGATGCAGAATAATCAATAGTACGAGAAAACTTGTTGGGCCTTTTGCTCGATGATAAAGCAAATGTATAGTGTTTCCTAGTGTTTCCTGTTTCCTGTTCTACTGTATATCATTGTGGCCTACATACATATAAAACACTCTAATCTTCAGCAGAGATATATATAAAAAAAATGACTCTATCCTTGAATTATTTATACAAAATAAATATGACACACAGGAAAATGTCTCTCAAAAGCTAAATATGCCCAGAAAGTGCTGATAATGCAAGAGCAGAGAGCCCTAGATCATGCAGCTGCTTATTATATAGTCATAGTCTGCCAAAATGCTTAGTCTGTATTTTGTGTAGTAGGAGACATGGGTTTCTTCTCCTACTACACCTGCAGAATAAATATATAAATATAGTTTTATTTGTGTCCCTCCCCTTTTGTTCTTTGCTTATTTCCACCTCAATAATCATCTTTTTTGCACCTGGCTCAGAAGGTTTTCCTTGATTTAGTCGCATGCTGCTGTGAAGTTATCTTTTGCGTTGAGTTATTAGGTATTATAGAGCGTTGGCAGTGTGTCACCCTGTCATCATAAGTCGTGCCATGCTGACATAACATCATCCATCCGACACAGGTTCTATGTTATAATGCAAATCAGCAGGCACTTGGTAGTACTAGATTTACAGATTCTTGCAGCAATGTGATGAATTGCCTTATTAAGTTTGTGTATTACTCGGATTACTGTTTTTATTACTTATTTTCTCATTTTGCTATGCACTGTTGTCCCTAGTGAGGCTATAATAATAATAATAATAATGTTATTTTTTGCACCAATGATGTGATCTATATCATATGAACATTTTGCATACAGTTACATCCCTGAATGTTGGAAATGTTTGGTCTTTATAAGGCAATGTGGAAACCGAGAAAGAAGACTTTTTACATAAGTGCAAAGTTTAACAAGAAATCTAACAATGCCCTATCTGGCAAGACTCAAAGAGGAAGCTTCATATGAGAACACCAAGGCCAGCTTTTACTAACAGATGTATGCCACACAAATAGTGATTAAGATGTTACCCAAAGTATAACCGGGTTGCACTCAGGTTATGCAAATTAACATTATATTGACATTTGAGTAATTTGTTGGTTTCTGTCTGTTGTAAAAAAAAAGTTTAAAGAAAAGAATAGGTCAATGTATTCATGCTAATTTGTGTTAGCTGTTGTTTAAGTTGAAGCAGTTCATTACATTTGCACAGAATATAAAGCACATAATAATGTAATTTACTGATATGATATTTATACAACGCTTTCTTTTGTTTTGAGTAAAGTAAACCATTGGTCAGGAGCACAACAGTCATAATCATGCCTGCCAAAAGGCGCACACCCAGTGTTACTCATGCTCAGCAGCTGTGCTAAAGACATAACCCAAAAGTGTTATTCCCTCTGGGGGAAGATTTGAGTCTAGAGTGGCTTTAAGGCCATAGCCTCTCTCCTCTTGCCACACATAAACAGAAGCTGTTTCACTTGATTTTCTTTTCTGTCATTTCATTCAAAACTTGTGTTCCATGTGATATATTTCTAGAGATATGTAGGGCTGTCCCAATATCAGGTTTCCACACGACTATCATGGCCAAATAACAGCCATATTAACCTGATACCTTTTTCTAAAAAATGTATGCAGTTGAAGAAGTGAGACAGAAGAAGTGAGAACGGAAATAAATAAAAGTGATTTAAGAGGCGCTGAATTATTTACATAATGTTATCATATGTGCCGCATAATGTGCCATACACACTAACCATGTAAGTAGTTCTCTTCGTAAAAGTTGAATAATGTAAGCAAGTAGTAAATAATGCTCTGTCTGCATTAATACAAAGAAAGAAGCTTTACAATAGTCTACATCTCTTCCTCTCGCTTTCCAACAGAAATGGTGTAAATGTAGAGGGAGCGACCCACAAGCAGGTGGTGGACCTGATCCGGGCCGGAGAGAGGGAGCTGGTGCTGGCCGTGCTGTCCGTCCCGCCCCAGGAGGCCGAGTGCCTCGATCCCGGAGACGACGTTTCAGCCCTGTCCTGCTATGACTACTCCGACAAGCAGGCTGTCCCCATCTCTGTCCCGAGCTACAAACACACAGAGCTCAACCAGGAAAAGTTTGTGGTGGGTGCACTTGTGGATGGCTTCGTAGATGGCTAAATGAGAGTAGGACCTTGGCCGCCGTAGTGACAGCTCATACGGCTGGAGGATTTGTCTTCAACTTCTGCCATTGTGTTTTATATTCCAACTCTCTGCATTCTCTTTCAGGTATATAATGTATACATGGCAGGCCGGCAGCTATGCTCTAAGCGTTACCGTGAGTTTGTGATCTTACACCAAAATCTGAAGAGGGAATTTGCCAACTTTACCTTCCCAAAACTGCCTGGGAAATGGCCTTTTTCACTGTCGGAGCAGCAGCTGGACGCGCGACGCAGGGGTCTTGAGGAATACCTAGAGAAAGGTCAGAGAAAATGAAATGTTAAGATAGAAAGTAGTAATCAGTATCATCCTGTTGTAAACTTAAGTACTGGGATAAAAAAATGTGGAAAGGTCTGGAAGACATACTGTCCACCCCAGAGTCCATAAGTACATTGTGTGTGCCATTGCATGACCACTGTTATTCCATATAAAAAACGGTTGCCTTCTTATATCTCTTGTTTGCAGTGTGCTCTGTACGGGTAATTGGCGAGAGTGACATCATGCAGGAGTTCCTGTCTGAATCAGATGAGGTAAAAAAACTAAAAACACGGTTGTTTATTTTTGTGGTCATTTGCCTGTGACTCATGTGCAGTTTGTCTCTCCTTCCTATTACATAGAACTATAATGGCGTGTCAGATGTGGAGTTAAGAATAGCCATGCCCGACAAAACTACGCTAACCGCCAGAGTTCGTAAAAACTCCACTACAGACCAGGTGTACCAGGTAAAAACACACACAGGCCTGAAAACAGTTACGCATTATAACCATGACCTTATCAGTTTAGTTTCTTCACCTTCTCTGACTTTGTCTCTCTCCGTCTTTCCTATTCAGGCTGTGGTTATGAAACTAGGGATGGACAGTGTAACAGCCAGCTACTTCGCTCTGTTTGAGGTCATCAACCACACCTTCGGTTAGTAAGAACGTGTATTTGAGCTTTTAGTTTTTGTGCATGCTCCTTTCTACACTGAAAATGTTCCCATGTTCGTTCAAAACACATGTTTTGACTAAAACAGCCAAATATCTAGAAGGCCTTTGTGCAAGAATGTTCATATGTCACTTCAACCAATCCTCACCTTCTCAAGGCTAGTTTGGTATGACGATAATTTAGATATTTCAAGCAGCTAAATAAATCTACTGTATATCAGAAGAATGTTCAACCTATGCAGCACCACTGAATGTATTCTCTATGAATGGGTGCAGAATAGTTACACGATTTCAAAAGCAAAAGTGACAGCTCAACAGTTTTTCTCAGACACATAATAACAGGATATCTCTCTCTCTCTCTCTCTCTCTCTCTCTCTCTCTCTCTCTCTCTCTCTCTCTCTCTCTCTCTCTCCCCTCACTTTCTTTCTTCCTCAGTGCGAAAGCTTGCCCCCAACGAGTTCCCTCACAAGCTCTACGTACAGAACTATACCTCAGCCATCCCAGGAACCTGCCTCACCCTGAGAAAGTGGCTCTTCACTACTGAAGAGGAGATTCTGCTCAATGACAACCAGCTTGCTGTCAACTACTTCTTTCACCAGGTGTGTGCATATGTCTTTTTACCTTTTCAGCGTGTGTGTGAATCTGTTTTTTGTGGGTTTGTTTGAACAGTTTCCCCTATTTGTTCATTCCTTTACAGGCTGCTGATGATGTGAAGAAAGGTTTCGTCAAAGCAGAGCAGAAGTCCCACCAGCTGCAGAAGCTGGCGGAGCAGAAGAAGATGTCTATGGTCAGTCTCTCACATTCACCAGACACCAAACAGCTCCTCTCTACTGCTCCTGGGGAACTTGCTCAGACAAAGTCAGATAGAGTTACTTTTTATAGTAATTACGCAGTGTGGCTATTACCATTCCCTCTCTCACCTGATCAGTCTCCTTTAAATGTGTGTAACAAAGCGCAAAAGGCACACATTTCCCTCAGGGGTTTACAGTGAGAGTCTAGATTTGGAAATATTGAGTTTTTCTAAAAAACATAAATAAATTAACCTGCTCTGGAGAGATGTAACCTCCCCCAGCTAGTAAATACTCATTACCTATTTTCAGATCAGTTGGGCTACAGCAAATATATAAAGTGAGTGAATGTTCTCTGCATTTGGTTGATTAAGCTTAGGTGCATCCTGCATCTAAACTTCAGTCAGTTGAAGAAGTACATATTGTAATATATAGTTAAAAACATACTTGTCTCTTCTGTCCGCTTTCCTTCTCAGTATCTGAGTTTGTTAAGGGGTTGCGAGGGCTACAATGAGATCCTATTCCCACACTGTTCCTGCGACTCGCGACGCAAAGGCCATGTCATCACAGCCATCAGCATTCACCACTTCAAGCTGCACGCCTGCACCGAGGAAGGGACACTCGAGGCAAGTGTGTGTGTGTGTGTGTGTGTGTGTGTGTGTGTGTGTGTGTGTGTGTGTGTGTGTGTGTGTGTGTGTGTGTGTGTGTGTGTGTGTGTGTGTGTGTGTGTGTGTGTGTGTGTGTGTGTGTTGTGTGTGTGTGTGTGTGTGTGGTGTGTGTGTGTGTGTGTGTGTGTGTGTGTGTGTGTGTGTGTGTGTGTGTGTGTGTGGTGTGTGTGTGTGTGTGTGTGTGTGTGTGTGTGTGTGTGTGGTGTGTGTGTGTTGTGTGTGTGTGTGTGTGTGTGTGTGTGTGTGTGTGTGTGTGTGTGTGTGGACATATTTTGCATGTATAAGGGAGTGAGTGTACTAAAGCCTTAATATTGTTCCAGAACCAGGTGATTGCATTTGACTGGGGTGAGATGCAGCGGTGGGACACAGATGAAGAGGGCATGGCCTTCTGCTTTGAATATGCACGAGGAGAGAAGAAACCACGATGGGTCAAGATATTTACACCCTATGTGAGTGTCGCACGCACACACATTTGCATATGCTAATAGCCCTCATCTTATACCAGTCAAATTACAGCTCCTAGAGAAATAAAAACACATCAATTAATCTTTTTTTTTTAACTATAACTCACGGGCAAAATGTGATATTTAAGGAAATATCTTCTCATCAATATGAATCTACTGCAGCCGGTTTACTTAGCTCAGCATAAAGATTAGACAACATGAATGGATGTGTCTACCAGCACATCTAAAGCTCACCTCTCGTTTGTTTAATCAATACAAAAACCAAAGTGTTGGCCGGTTACGCTACTCATTGGCTGTGAGCAGTTGCCTGGCAACAAGCGGAGACTCTAGGAAGTTTAAGGTTCTAGCCAAGAAGTAGCGCATAACTCTCCCTAAAACTGTACATTTACGTTTGACGGTTCAGTTTTTGTCAGGATTAAACATAACGTAGATTAGTGAGACTTACAGGCGCTGGTTGGTGTATTTTTTCTTGCCACTGGACAGAGCAGTGTTTCCAGTTTTGTGCTAAGCTAACCAGCTGCTGTCTTTAACCTTATATTAAAAGTACAGAAAATGAGTGTTATGAATATCATTGAAAGCAAATACGCATACATATCAAACCATTCCTCTCAAGAGAAATATGTAAACCATATCAAATCTAAATGCATGTTTCTCTCTTTGTATTTGCTTTGCGTGGCCGATGTCCAGTTTAACTACATGCATGAGTGCTTCGAGAGAGTCTTCTGTGAGCTGAAGTGGAGGAAGGAGGTAAGGACCATCTACAAACATTGTAATATGTTTTATTACAAGCCATTGGGTGCTTCACTCACACCTGCAATGTGTGTGTTTCTACAGGTGGAAGAGGAGGCTACAGACAAGGACAATAAGAACTGCAGTAAAGATGGTATGTGTGGCAAGGTAAGGCTTTGCCTGCCTCTGTCCAGTATACGATTTAATCAATAGCCTGGGTGAATTCCTCTGTGTTTTTGTTTACTGAGAGTGTCTTCCTCCTGATTGCTCTTTCTGTTTCAGAATATTTTCCAGCTGCTGAGGCACAGAAGGGATGGAGGCACCTAGGAAGGGAGATTGTTACCTCTTAACTCAACACCGCCACCGGCCCTCATCTAGCCCCGGACGCAGCTACGCTCAGCTATTAACTACCTGGTCATCCTTTACACTTCATCAGCTACAACCTAAAAGCTACCCCCGATAAATGCAAACCAACAAGCACCTGCAAATCGAATAAACCGAAATATAAAAAGCTACAGACACATGAACCAGAACTCTTGAATCCAGCGCACCATAATCACGCATAAGCAGAACTCTGTCCAAACTTGGATTCATGCAGGCCTTCTTCTTATTGGCCGGGACTTGAAGTGGAATGTGACTTGTACGTGGGGAGGTTGTTAGCCTCCTCTGAAGTAGTCCTACCGGGAAGAGCAAGCTGGAGTGAATAAGGAAATATTGTGGGACTAACAAGGAAAAGTGTTAGTGCTCGCAAAGGGGAACACAGATAACACTGATCAGCAAGAATGAGGGTTGACCACAGGAAGACTCAGTGTGTCCATTTACGGCCAGTTGTTAGCGTGCAGGTGTGTTTGTGCATGTTAATGCGTGCTGGGGGCCCCAAAAGGCAAGGGTCCGACCAGAGTGAGGCCCTCAGAATGTAAGTCATCGTTTAATTATGTCGCATACAAACATTTTCATTGATTTGTTGACCAGTTTGCATCTATAAAACAAACCTATTAACATTGTAATGTGACAGAAGAGAGAGAGAGAAAGTGGACATGATGTAAAATAGTTTTTTTCATTCAGAGACATAGCTGTGATGACTTGACACAAGCAGGAACGACTTTACATTTCAAACTAATGTTGCACTTTATCCGACAGTATTAACAGCCCCCTAATGTGGGAGATGTAACCGAAGAAGCAGATTGGTTTACATTCATTTCTGACTGAATTACAACATTATTGTTATCCACTGCATCATCAGACGACATGTGCAGTGTGCAGAGCCATACATTCACCTTTTTTGTACTTATAGTATTATGTGAACACTACATGTTCATATTTTGAGACCATTGTAGAGCAGCAGTGATCAGACAGTGGAGTACAATATGTTGAGCATGCATTCCCCATAAGAGACAGCAGGGGTCCTTCTCCTCCTTCTGCTCTTTAACAGGCACTGATTACTTTGCTCCTGAAAGCTCCCAAGGGGTTTATAATAGGCCTGTAATTCAAAAGGCCTTTCTAATTGGAGCACTATTTATCTCTGTTGCTGGAACTTCGCTGTACTGTTGAACTTCTCATGCACTCCAGATTCAGGTTAAGTGGGAAGAAGATTTTTATTCGCAAAAAAGGGCAGCTTGCACACTTCATCAACGTTATACAGATATGAAGATAACGGCACATTAACTAAAGGCTAGGTATAAACCCATCACACAGCTGCAGTGTAATGAAGTAAACAGTGTAATTCAATGTCCCTCTAAATGAGCATAGCTAATGTTCTCATTCGTAGTATAACGTAATAATAATGTACCAGAAAGGACACTCAGAGAGAACAGACCTCCGCCAAGGTCGTTTACATAAGTGAAAATGAATGTGTGTATCCGCCTTGCGATCCGGATCCAAAAGGTGAAGGGTTCTTCCTTCAAACAATTGATATGAAAATTGCCTTGGGCCGGTAGTTTTTCTGACAAACTGACGAACCAAAAATGTAACCTTCTTAGCAGAGGCAATAAGCGATAAACATCATTATTTGATCCAATAGAGACTTCAGGCTGACAATCAAATACATGTTTGTAATCATACGTTATTACATCACTAAACTCTGAACTGCTGACATTAAATGTTAATAATTGCCCAGTGTTATGTTGGGATATTACTACCATAACATCTGAACTGGTTTATCATATCATGAACTCATTTAGAAAGCCAATTTAAAAGATCTTGCTTAACTCAAAAGCTGCTTCATGTTTAGTCCAAATCAATTCATTTAAAATCACATGAAAAATATGTGTCCACTGTTATGCATTACAACATGACAAACTTCATGTTATTTTCTTGTTTTAAATGAGGTAATCAAATAAGTATAAGATGCCGGTGAATGACAGTTAACCATTATTTAAATAATATTTAGCCCTTACTACTATTTAGCTCCTTATGACATTATCAACAGTATTCTTCTATACTGCGGGCAAGTAAAGAGTCACAGATTGATTCTGATTGGCTCTTGCTCAGAGGGCTTGTTATAATGGTGGTGCTGTTCACAAAAGCCGTTTTGGGTGATTCATGAGCTTCAGCAGACCCTGGTGGGTGTGTAAAGGAGGTTTAATGAATGTATTGAGCCTTGAATTTAGAGACCTGCGATCCTAAAGTCTCAAAGCATTTCCCAGTGTTCTTGTCCGCTTACTGGAGCGTATCTGACGTGGTGGATCCTCTGACATTGTCTGATCTGCCCACCTTCAAGTATGCACTAAGCCCCCCTTCTTTCTCTCTCTCATGCTGACTAAAGTTTAGTGTCACTAACAGTATTTATTTTATTAAGATAATATGTTCATTTGAGCATCCCTGTTGTTCAGTTTATCACCTGATGTAGTTTGGCTTTTGAAGAGTCACGCTAAGAAGAGGATGGAGATTGTCAACCCGCAGATTCTTTGACATGTTGAAATGTAAAATTTCAGAGAGATTGTTTGGTTACGTCGCTTACTGTAATAAATTGTAACATATTCTTTTAAATAAACGGATTTATTGATGCAACGTTTTGTGGGTGTGTTCGGTGCAACTGCAGGAGTCACACACTGCCAAAAGTATGATCTTACACACAAGCAGAAAGATGATAATCCTATGGAAATTATTTTCCACTCTTCCCCTCACTCTCACTTTTGTACTGACGTCTGTTTTCTTTCTTTCTCTCTCCTGTTGCTGTCCCCTTCTCTCCACAACTCTAATGAGATCTGGGAAATAATTACCCAGCGGGCAGTGAGATGGCCGCTGCATATCGACCTGCATTGAGTGCCTGCACCCTGTAATTAATGGCTATCGACCGCTGCTGGTCAGGGAAGCTTTCTTGGAGCATCTGAATTTGGAAATGCAAACATCTCTGGGCCAGAACCCTGTCCTGAGAGATGTCTTACCAAGGGTCCAATTTCAGTGCATATCAGTTTCATACCTTGATCACAGGAAGAGGCTTTGAACAAATGATTTGAAAAAAGTGCACTATTGCTGCATCATGGGAGAAATGGTTTTACAATTTCAAGATGTTACATTGGGACTCTGAAATGGGAGCATGAGTTATTTGTAGCTTCTTCCTGTGCATGGGGAAACACTTAGACTGTCTGGGGAACTCGTACAATAGGCTGGGAGGATCCTAATCCCTCCTCTTTACTATAAAAAAAGGAAAAACTGACTGCCTCATATCGAGGATAAAATAAGAAACTATTGCATCGCTCTTTTCCTTCTTTGATTGAACTATTAAAACACAGCACGTCAACTATATTACTGCTTTCTTTTATATTCCCTCACCCCGGTTTTTATCGTGTGTGTGTGTGTGTGTGTGTGTGTGTGTGTGTGTGTGTGTGTGTGTGTGTGTGTGTGTGTGTGTGTGTGTGTGTGTGTGTGTGTGTGTGTGTGTGTGTGTGTGTGTGTGACAGACACGCTAAGAGATAGATCAGGTCTGCAGCAGGGTCCTTACTTGATGTATGAGTCGCTTAGCAGGACTCTGCAGATGTGGGTGCAGATGTGTGCGACACACTGCAGTGGCCCCGTGATACCAAACATTTCTGCATCCCACCCTCCTGCTCTCTGCATCGTGCTCCACTGTTTCTGTGTGATTCTCCTCTGAACAAACAGCTCTGCAGGATCTGTGCACACCGGGCCGCTGGATGACTGAGTCCCTGCAGTAGAGGAGTATCTCGAGATTTATTACTTGCGCTTTTTTGCATCTCTCAGCTACGTTAGGCCGCCCCGGCAGTCCCATCACAGACAGGATGAGCTCAATAGGCCATTGAAATGAATGGTAAACTGCCATGGCAGCACATATACTGAACTTACAATAAAACAAGTTTAAAGCCTTATTAATAGGCTTTGGGGTAAAGGTTTTCCGCACAGCCATGCCAAAAGAGCATTTAGCTAAATTCAATCATCACGTGTTTGTATTATTCATCATTTTGCATTAGAATATTTGCCAAGATCCGTAACATGCAATCTTTGCCAATTGAGAATATTTGTCCAGTCACCCATAAACGCTTTTCTGAGTACGGTTTAAAGGCAGCATCCAAGAGGAAGAGGAGGGGGGATTCACTCCTCTCTCCTTCCTCTCCACTCCCCCTCCTCCTGTCCCTCTCTCATTAATGAGCAATCAGTTAAAAACTTTATCGGCTCCTATTTCCTTTCTCAGCACATTTTTCCCCTCCCTCCACTGTTTCTCCCAACCACCCGCCTTGTTTTATCTCCTTCTCTAGTACTCTTTCATTCTGCTTCCCCTACGTGTCTGTGCCTCTGCATAGCCCTCCCCTGCATCGCTCATTCTGTCTCTTGCTTCCTTTTGCCCCTTTTTATTGTTGCGCTACATTACTTACATTTTGACTTTTCTCCATCTGGCTCTTTTTCCTCTCATACCCCCTTTCCTTCAATACTCTCTGTTTCTGGTTTACACCTTGATCAAAGGAAACGGAGCCAGAGAAAAACATGTGATACATGTCTAGAGAGTACAAAACATGAGGCTGTTTATGTTTTTCTGTGTGTGTGTGTGTGTGTGTGTGTGTGTGTGTGTGTGTGTGTGTGTGTGTGTGTGTGTGTGTGTGTGTGTGTGTGTGTGTGTCTAAAAGATTTTGAAAAGTCTTTTGAAAAGGGTTATTGGAAGGTTGACCTTCTTTCTTTCACGTGTTTCAATCTGAACCTTATCTAAATTCGTAAAAAGGGAAAATATTGTCCAATGATTTGAATCAAAAAGAAGCATTGAAATGTTTTTCTAGCTGTGAATGTCAAAGTGTATTACATATTCAGAAACAAGAAAGACATGGAGTACTTTTAACCATCCCTATTCAGCTGAGATGTCGTGTCATTCCAATGAATGATAAATACATTTTTGTAAGATCTTTTGAAGGATTTTCTTTTTTTTCTAAACTGTTATTCTACTGTTTTGTATCTGTGTACAATAACTTTTTTTTTATCTTTTGCTGCTGCTTATCTTGGCCAGGACGCCTTTGAAAGGTTTTAATCTAAATCAAATCTATCGTGGTTAAATGACGGCTAGATACAAATAAAAAAGGTAGAAAATAATCCCTAAGGCAGAATGCAGGGTTTTCTGTTTTCTGCGGTTCATCAGATACTGTGATTAGTAAAGGTGCTGCAGAAATGAATCACCAGTGTCATCATC